AGTCCTTATACTACTAAATTATAAGTCGGATACTGTTTAAAAAGGATAAGTTCTTTACAATATGACAACACCGATTAGAGGCGAGGGAGCCTATTCATTCATTTATTACCTTGTAGTACGTGTCGCACGTGTGCGGTAAAGCTTTGTTGCCGCTATCTCCCCGGCTGTATTAACGCATTTTCTTAGCTTGTAGTGCTTAAGTGTTTATTTTATTGACTTTTTCTGTTCAAGAACTATAAAATATGGTTCGCCAGTGCCAAATTTGCAAGAAATTTGACTTAAATAATCCATTTAAGTCTTGAAACGACTTTTGACCGGTAGGCAACTCTCAATTTACCCATTGGGAGTCAGTGGCGTTGTTGTAGAAAGGCGCTTATTTAGATAATATTTTAGTAAAATGTAAAATCTGAATTTTTTCTCTTACATTACATTATTTACTTACTTACATTGTAACAAAATCATAATTATAACCCTGTTAATAATTAATAATGTTTTTATTAAAAATATATTCCGGTTTATTCTAAAATTATCTTCAGAATCTAAAATAACATACAAGAATTTTAAAATGATATTACATTAGAAACAATATTTTTTTTAATATACCGGGTCGTTTCAAAAGTGGCTCACCCTATAACTTTTTATTTTTTCAGATAAAAAAAAAACAGATTTGTATGTTAGTAGGTATATGACATAAATTAGGATTTATTGACGTATTCAATTGTTTTTGGTCTCTTCCTGTTTCACCGAAATTATTACATCTTTTGATTTTTAAAGGCACCCTCGGTATATTGCTACTTTATTCGATAAAAAATGACACTCTGAATAGAATGACATATCATATGTCAACTTTTGACATTGTCGCTTAAAAATATATCCTATTTTAAATTTCAATCCAGGGTGCCATGGTTTACAGTTGAGGGTTGGAACCTTTGGTGTTACACAGCAAAATAAAAACACTAAATCACCACAATACACCAAAACACTTTTACTTTTACACTGGACGCGCGTTTCGCTAACCATGTTAGCATCATCAGCAGATGATTATAAACTCAGTTTATAAAATTTGGTGCCAAAAAATTTTGGTGCCATGGTGTTGTTAAAAACACTAAGTTTTAATCAAGGAGCCTTGGAAAAATAGTTTTGATCGTCTAATAGGTTTCGTGTCTTGTCTAGGCCGGTTAAAAGATGTACAAATCGTATTTTTAATCATACATGATAGCTGGCTTCTCTAAATTACGTCAGCTTACGACACCTGATCTCCGAGACCGCCGCAGCGTGGCCCTTCTTCGAAAAACAAAGCTGGAGCAATATTGCGAATGTTGCATCATTCTTATAAGTTTAGTCAGTTAAGATCGACTTTCGAACTGTTTACGTACTTTTAAGCGGAATAAAACGTATTTTTGAGGAATATAGTGGTTTAATTTAAGTAAAAAGACTAATTATCTGTCCCTAATCTAACATACATATGTCAATTTTTTCAAATGGAACAAGGGTGACTCATTAGCATATTTAGAAAAAGCATTTTTTTATGAATATATTGATACCACACACTTGGTATTTCGAGTCAAATTGTCGTTATGAACCGCGTGTTACAATTACAATTAAACCATATGCGAAAATGTCAAAAGTTGACATATTATATGTCATTCTATTCAGAGTGTCATTTTCTAACGAATAAAGTAGAAATATACCGAGGGTGCCGTTTAAAAATTAAAAGTTATAGTCATTTCTGGTGAAACAGGAAGTGACCAAAAACAATTGAATGCGTCAATCAATCCTAATTTATGTCATATACTAACATGCTAAATCTTGTTTTTTTATTTGAAAATATAAAAAAATTATGGGGATGAGCCACTTTTGGGACGCACTCGGTATAATAACCCCAGTTAAATAAATGTAGTTTTCATTTTATCCACTTCCTATCACCTTCCTTGCTTTAATGGAACAGATTTATGTTTTCTCTAATTTACATAAGACATCACTTAACCAGAAAAAAAAATTACAACAATCATATTTTTTTTTCTCTCCCTGTCGCCGATTCTATTATATCTGTTGAATAGATCCTGTTTTGATTAATATTAGGGGTTGTAAATGTTTGACTAAAATTAATAATTTATTATTAATTTCAAAAATTACGTAATTTTGATTATAAAATTTCTTCTATAACGTGTATTTTATTATTTTTATCCTTTTTGGACTCTAAGACGTTTTTTCTAAACTTTTATTTAAAAAACCTGTCCTAAATCTTAATAAAATATAAAAAAGTTTAAATACGATATATTTTTAATTTAATTATAGCTTCATTAAAATAAAAAAATTATCCGGCTATGACACGGAGAGTTCAGGTGTACTTGAGAAACGAAAGACAGTGTTGTGTTTCTCGGCAGAGTCGTCAGGGAACGACCGTTACGACAGAGACAACCTATCTATCGCTCGTGTCGCACTCGTTATAACCTAAAAACAATAACACAACAATAACAAGATATTGTCTGACCGCATGTTCCAGCTATTTATGAATGAGATGCTCAGTCTATATTTTATTTTAAGTCTATGATCACAACGCTATTTTATTTAAACCAAAAACTCGTAATACAAAACGAAAGTGTCAAAACGAATGACAATGTCAGTAAATAAATAAATAAATACGGCAAATTGACATTTTTTTAAACAGAGCTACCGCCTGACTCCCCAGCGCGAAATTTAAGTTCCAGTTTCCGGCGCCGAATATGTCCATGGTTGGCAACAATGAAGTTAAAAATCGCGCTCTCGATTACGTAACTAAAAGTTTACGGGACAGAATGAACCTTTAGGAAGTGTTCAAAAACTAACTGGACGTTTTAAAATTAAATGAATACTTGATAGAAGAAATTTTTGCGCTTTGTGGAGCAATTTTTTTTTATTTTCAATCATATTATTATATGAGTTTAGCGCCCCCTGACACTGGCGCCCGGGGCAGGTGCCCCGGTTTGCCCCCCCCTTAGATCCGGGGCTGTGTTAAGCCACACGTAAAATTCCAAACACACGTGCTTTGATTAAGGCTTGATTAAGGTTTGCAGGGCTTCAGTATTTGTCATAAAACAGCGAGCAATTTGTTATTAAACCATATAAATTATATATCACTGTAATCACAAAACTTCAATCTATTTCCGTATTGTAACGGAATTTTAAATTATGTTTTTATTTTCGAGAAAATTTAATCCAAACATAAGTAATATTTTGTTGATGTTTGACCATCAAAATCTTAAAAATAAAAAAGTTGTCTACAATACGGATATAGTATAATCCTTTATCTTTAATTAAAAAACGTTAAATGCCGAACGCTTTTTCGGACTAGCGTGTAACGTTTTTAGTTCGTTACATGTCTTTTTTATATATAATATATGATGTCTGGCCTATCATCACCGGATTCCGTATCGTTCAGGCCTGATAATTTATTTGGCACGCTTGGCGTAATTTTTACGTTCCCTAGTCACCAACCCTTCTATCGTTTCACTGTTCTGTGGAGGCGCGCGCTGTCAAGATCCTTGTTATACGTCAAGGCGCCTCTCTGCGTTTTAACCTCACTTTGTTTTTGGCCGGTTTGCGGCACGGTTGCAAATCTTGCTTTTAGAAATGGCAATTTAAATCTTGCTGCAAAATCTGAATCAGCTGCCATTTCGAAGCTACAGGTAAAGATGAGTTATTATCTTTTATAGATTCGATATTATAATTGAATATTTTTAGGGTAGAGTTTTGGATTGACCCACCTTAACTCGTATTTGTATTTTGCTGACACGTTGGTGTACTTTTGCTGTTGTCCTCCAGAATGTTAAATGGAAGAAAGGACAGTTCTTTTATTTATTATTGAGCCCTCGGAAGTGTTTCGAGGTAGGTTTATTTTGTTTATTAGACCTTGTTTGGTTTTTTAAACAAGAGTTTCGTATTTTTAGGGTCTTATGGACGGACTGTGTCCAAGGTACGGGTAGTGTTCCCCTGTACCGTTTTCTTATGGACGTACATTATCTTATGGACGGACTGTGTCCAAGGTTATGGTCCAAGTTACGGACATTATCCAAGGTCCTAGTAGTGTTCCAAGGTACGGGTAGTGTCCCCATATTGCCACAGTATGGATACAGTGTAAGCCCCATGCTTCTTCGCTCCCATTTCTAAGCCTAGTCAGTAGCTACGGCTGTATTGATTCATGGTGTCCTCATTCTGGCCTCTTTTGTTGTTTTGGCCAACAGGATCGCCGACAGACAGTACAGAGATATGAGCCCACCTCACGCTGCTAGTCTTTGAAACAGGATTGCCTCAAGAACAGCTCAGTGTAGATTTAGGTTCTGGTTTTCAGTCTTAACTTAACGTACATTTTAAATAATATTGTACAGACTATATTTAGTGGTTAGATTATTAAGAACATTTATGTCGATTTAGTTGTTACAATATGATTTAGATTTTAGGTTTCATTACATTACGCCTTGTAATAGTATTACTTTCTATAGATATTATTATTACGCTATATTAACAGATGAATAACCAGACATAGATTCTAGAATCTACAGGTTGCAACATATCAGATTTAACACCGCATAAAGTTTAACAATTTAAATAGAGTAATGCTACCTTTCTTATATTTTCTATAACGTTACACGCATTGTATTTTTTCATAGTCTTTTCATAGAACATATTTCATATTATTTACATACATAGTTTTTACTCGACATATAACCACTATAATAATTATTAAAATTTTACAATGCTATTTACCATCAGGATATATCATGAATGAATATAGTCACTAGTTTTAAGTAATAAACAACTGTGTTTTCTTTCTCTGTTCATGCCTGGCGCCCAATATTGATAATTTCGAGTTATTATTGTTAATTAGTTCTTTCCAGTGAAATACCTTATCCACGACTGCTCTACCAACGAAAAGCTGCCGTTCGCAGTGGTAATGTTTATAAAAAACGCTACAAGCGAAATGGACTCTTAATAAACGATAATTGCAACTCACATAGTACAGAAAAAATAAAAGTGTATATTTCCTTAAAATCTTATAAAAATTTATAAATAAATATATACGTAAAAAAGATATTGCAATAAAACTCTAACGGATTATTTTTTTTCTTCGATATTCAACAATGACTCGCTTGGAATAGAGCCCGACTCAACTGACATCTGACACGAGTCTGCGGTTTTATCTGGTAGATGTAGCTTAAAAATAGCTTTCGATATTTCTTCTTCTCTGCCTGTGGTCCAGTACTCGTAAAGTTCAGGAGCAAAACCAACAGTTTCTGCAAAAAAACGAAACATTCAATTCTTAAATGTTATTCAAATTAAACTCTTAAAAATAGTTTAATTTTTTATTATTTTCGTTAGCGTTTCTAAAATTTCTATTATCATCCGTATTTGATACATAGAAAGTAAAGTATATTTACTATTATAGTCTGTCCAACGTCTCAGGCAAGATTTCGACAAATGACATTCAAAAAATGAAGATACGATAATAAGAAAATATAATTTGCCTGTGAATTAAAATGGCAGACGCAACTGTCACGGTCATGTCTCCTTCTGTTGGACAGACTATACATATAGATATAATAAAATTATATAAGAATTCTTGCCATTTAACTGCTGATATAGAAATTTAATTCCACGCTGTGTTTGCTATAATGTGAATCAACCTGCTCTCATTACCGCTTTCGGAGCCCTACTCCATCAACAGGTGAGCTTGGGTCGATTCCACAAAATGACAAACAGCGCGGAGTAGCTAATAAGTACTCTGTAGCTAAAGTACTCTGCGCACTGGTACTAGGTACTAGAAGGGTACTGGTACTCTGTACTGGTATACAGGGTGTTTCAAATTCGGCTCCCACCATTGGGATCTCGGAGACGGTAACAGATACACTATGGCTAAAATTAAGGCAATGTTGCCTGTTAGCGAATCCAGTGATAGTCCGTTTAGTAATTGGACAAATCTTTGTTATTTCCGGAAATTTAGCGGAAAAACTAAAATTTTCCTTTTGTGTTGTACGTTTTATCTCTCACCGTTTCCAAGATTCCAATGGTTAGAGTTAGACTCGAATTTGAAACACCTACCTAACTAAAATTAATTAACTAAAAATATCATTATTTTCATATATGTATGTGTAATTAGAATAATTACCTATGGATGATTTGCGATAGTTGGCTTTGATAAAACTACTTTCTTCTGATAGGACTGGCCTAAAAAAATATTTAATAATAAATAACAATAATTAATTAAATAAAATACTTGGAAAATCTTGGATTAAAAATAACTAGCGATGGAAAACTCGATGAGGGTATAAAAGATCGAATAATGCAAGGCAGAAGGGCAATATCTATGTTGAATGGTGTATTGTGGGATCAAGGAATATCTAAAGCTAAGAAGAAGAGCATACATAATAATTAATGATAATGAACATAAGGTTGCAGATTAGTTTTTATGCAAACACAGGGTTGACCATCATACTCTATCTATGTAGCGACAGAAGTACCCTGGGGAGCCGCCACTGGTATGTGTTTATATCGGCATTTGAAGCCAGCTTAGCTAAGTTAGCATAGAGCTTGCTTGAAATCAATGACTAAAGAATACAAGGACATATAGCACCCGAGACCAAATTGTTACCATGGCACTAAACAGGGCACTAAACTAACTTAGCTGCTTGAGAGGATATTTATATTTTGAATAAATGTTTTGACTACGTCTATGGTTTAGGCGGTGGCATCATACTAATTAATTACGAAAAAAACGCATTAAAATGTTAACAAAAATTATAAAACTAGTATCGACGTATAGCGCATATCAAGTACATACAGTATCAGAAAAATAATTACGAAATTCAATAAGAGAGAAACGCTAAAAACGTGGAGTGGACTGTTTATTTACTTACGAAACGCAACTCCTAGCTCTTTCTTATCGTTGCGGCTTTTACACTTGAAAGCTGAACATATCACCATTGTAATAAAGTTTAGACAAAGTTCACTACACACAACAAATTATTAAATATCTAAAATTGTCGCTGTTGACGAGGTGCTGACTCATCGGTAGGCTCCAAAATGATGGCGTCTAACGTAACAAATTCTGCTGCAGCCCGTATATGAACGTTACATGTCCTTGTATTTTTTAGTCATTGCTTGAAACGCTCAAAATAAAGGTACGTGATTTATACATAATCTATTACGTAAAAAATGATAAGTAAAAACAGCATAATCCAAGGATAACTTCACTTACCTTTTCAAAGTATCTCCACACCTTATATGTTTGGTAGGATCATTTCTAGAAAATAATAAAAGAGTAAATATCTAAAAATTATTATAATAATGTAATTTGCGCTTATACAGGGCGTTTCAAATTCGGTACCCGCCATTGGGATATCAGAAGTTGTAAGAGATACAGGATGTTTTAAATTGGGGTAAAGTGGCCTGTTAATGAGCCCATAGAGAGCCCCCCCCCCGGAGATAATCTATTTACTAAAAATGACGATTTATTGACGACGACCAGAAGCACAATCACGACAAATTTCTAAATTATAATAATACCTATACGAGACAATAATTACTGAAAGCAAAAAAGAGAAATAATGATGGTAGAGATAAAACCCTGTTAATTTTTGTTCAAAAAATATTATAACCAAATTGATAATTGTATGCGCACGTCAGATTTACCAGAGATCGTCAAAGCCTCAATGTAAAGAATATTTTCAAAATTTTAGCTTCAAGTGTTTTAGCCTCAATGTGAAGAATATTGTCAAAATCATAATGCCCCTCGTTTCTACATACAGGGCTCGGCAATAGTACGTCGAGCAACAGTAGCTCTTAGAATAAAAAATTTGAGAATTTTGTACAAACCTAAAGTATGTACGAGGATGTATTTCAGGAAAATATTTAAACTATAGGCTAGCTCTCTCAAAAAAGTGTGAGTGGTTCAAGATGATTTTTTTAAATGGAACACCCTGTACATTATTGCATTTTTCTCTTCCTTTCTGATCACTTTATCTTTATCTCTTTATCATAAGATAATATTAAATATGTTTTGATTGTTTCAGAGATATTAATAAATAAATAACAAATATATGTTTTTCAAACCCCCTTAAAAAAGTTATTACAAATACAAGAACTGTCCTGAAATCGAAACTATATTAGGTTAGATTACTTTAGATAGTGTATACTTTAACCGCCTCATACTTTCAGATATTTAGCAGTAAAATAAAGAAACCTGTTATTTTTAAGCTGTTATTTTAAGCCGTTTTTTTATAAATAACTATAACAGTTTCAACTGTTATCTAAAAATAACAGTTTTGCCCATCACTAGACATAAATACAAAATATTTTCATGGTGTCTGTCCGTCTGTCCGTCTGTCCGTCTGCCGTCTGTAACAAGATAACTCAAAAACCGCTGAACCGATTTTAACCAAATTTGACACAAAAATACTATGGCACCCGAGAATCTGGCCATTAGTTTTTGGTGGGAGTGGGGGGTTGGTAAGGGGGTATGGGAGGGGGTTAAAAATTTAAAAAATCGTAACTCCAAAATTACAGTACCTAGCGAAACGCGGTTTTCAAATTAAGATTAGGAATAATATTTGCAACAAAATTTGTAATAACATCAAAATCAGTCAAAGTCGCAGTTTTCGAAATATTAACATATTTTAGTATGGGCGGCTATACGTGCCTCCCGGCGCCAATTTTTTGTATTTAAAGTATTCAAAATTTTTAATGGTTTCGCAAATACACACAGTATTATTTCATATGGCTCTTTCAACGGTAAAATACAAGAGAAAAATAATTGAGCGGCTTTGATAAAAATTTACTGTGGAAAATGCCATATGAAATATAAAATCACGAATATCTGCGAAACTGTTAAAAATTTTTAAATACTTTACATACAAAAATTCTAACATACATACTAAAATCTAATTCTCCATCTACTGAAAAAAATAATATATAGGGTGTTCCATTTAAAAAAAAAAACGAAGAAAAATTATTTTATATTTTAGAAAGTTTGGCGTAGAATTTTGAACAACCTGTATGATTACCATATTTATTACCATATTAGCAAAGGTACCACAGATCATAGAAAATACCTAATATAGTTTAGATTTCAGGACAGTTCTTGTATGTTTAATAATTTTTTAAGAAAATCTGAAAAACACATATTTTTTATTTATTTATTAATATCTCTGAAACTATCGAAATATATTTACTCATATCTTCTGTATATGGATTATGTAAAGTGATCTGAAAGGAAGCCAAAAATGCAATAATATACAGGGTGTTCCATTTAAAAAAAATCATTCCGATCCACTTACACTTTTTTGAGCCACCCTATAGAAGTTGAAACGTTTTTTCTGAAATACACCTAGTACATACTTTAGGTTTGCACTTAAACAAAATTCCCAAGTTTTTTATTCTAGGAGCTACAGATGCCCGACGCACTATTACCGGAACCTGTATAGATTAATTAAAAATTAATATCTGAAATTTAAAAGTAAAGTAAAGATTTCAAGTTAACGTCTCATTTTTGCTGCCAGGGCTTATCTGGACGGAGCGTACTTTGTTTACGCGGAATCCGAACCGCGGTCCTCGACCATATCATGGTCAATGGCCTACTGACTTGGCAAGTGTCTAAATCGAACCAGCGTGAATGAGCAGTGTGTGTCAATAGATTTTACGCTTTTGCTATTATTGGACAACAGCACGATACAGAGTTTCGAACCGCTCACCCGCCCATCCACTAGTATCGCCTTACGTAGCTTAACTTCGGTGTTCTAATGAAAACCGGTGTTTCGACGTAGCTGGGCCGTTACCCCTGAAATTTAAATGAAATAGAAATAATTACTCTTTAAGTCCTTCTTCATCATAATTGTAGATACAATTTGCTTCGGGATCGTAAAAACCGTTGATTGTATCGTAACATCCTTCGGGAAGATTTATAGTTGGTTGTCTATTTGTCAGAAATTCGGAGCCGGCACTATTCAAACTCGTGTTGAATTCGATCTGGAATCTAAAGCAATATTCAATTTAGCCATCAAAATAGAAAAAAATCGAATTACTAGTCTGTTCAGCGATCGTTCAATGTTACGTCATCATTATTTGACAAATATGCGTTCTAGGGTGTGTCTGTGATCCTTTGAATAAGAAGACTAAGGAAGGAGCATAATACTATCCATGTATGCATGCATGGTGGGCGGAAAAGCCACCATAAAAGCTCTCTAGGGTGGGGATCCTTGACAGTTCTGTTTGACGATTCATTTGACACATTTGAATTTGATTTGAAATTTTGTGAATTTATCAGTCTTTACGGAGCTTATTTTATGTTATTTATTATTTATTCTACTACTGATAGTTGTATAAAGGTAGTAAATCTAGATGGAAATTGTGGCAGAACTTAAATTAACAGTGACACTATCGCGATTTATCGAAAAAGACTCTAAAATAGTTGGTTGTGTAGCGTGCGGTAGATCTTGGCAAAAATTGAGTGAAATAATGGAACAACTTTTCGCTAGTAAGTGACTATATAATATACATACGTGTAGTAAACCGATCATTTATGAAATTCACTTAAATTAACTAAATTATATATTTTTCTTGCATTTTAGCTTTTATTTATTACTTGTCAAAGATTAGATGTCAAAGAATTTAGATACGTTAATTTGACTTACCTGCTTCAGTAGCGTATCGGATGTTTGTGTTAATAAATACTTATTATAACTTATCTATTTTTATTAGAATTATATATTTGTATAACAATTTTAATAACTACCAACATTTATTCACAACGTAAAATAAAACAACAAATTATTGAGTCTTTCCCACGTCTACCCTACATCATAGTTTTACATTTTTTAAATAAAATTAGAACGACACTGATAAACCGGAATTTAAGTCGGCCATATTTGAGGCCCATCGCGGTGTACCTAAGATTTTTGATATGCTCCTTCCTTAGTCTTCTTATTCAAAGCTGTGATCAGTTCATATTATTTAGAAAATTTTAGGTATGTTCTGAACCTAGATCATATACCGGGTGCTTCTCAAAAGTGGCTCAACCCTATAACTTTTTTATTTTTTTAGATGAAAAAACGAGATTTGGTATGTTAGCATATTACATAAATTAGGATTCATTCCTCGGAATATGTATATGGTATATATTTACTTTATTCGATAGAAAATGACATTCTGAATAGAATGACATGTCATATGTCAACTTTTGACATTTTGGCTAAAAACATATTTTAAAATGGCTGTGTTAAAAACACTAATTTTTAATCGAGGAGCCTTGGAAAAATAGATTCGATCGTCTAATGTTTTTCGTGTCTTGTTCTGGTCAGTTAAAAGAAAATTTGACATGTGATATGTCATTCTATTTAAAGTGTCATTTTCTATTGAACAAAATAAAAAAATACCGGGGGTGTCATTTAAAAATCAAATGCTGTAGTCATTTCCTGTGAAACAGGAAGTGACCGAAAACAATTGAATACGTCAGTCTATCCTAATTTATATCATATAGTAACATACCAAATCTCGCTTTTTATCTGAAAAAATAAAAAAGTTGTAGAGCTGAGCCACTTTGGAGACACACCCGGTATACTTACGTGGATAAATAAATCACTATGGAAACAGTCGCAAACATATCAACGACTTTATTTTTTTTTATCAACCCATTTATCTTCTTTTTTTGTTGCACACGCGGTGCTTCTACTCTATCTGTCCTTGCCGAGGACCTATCGTCCACGCGCCAAATTTGGAGATTAATTTTAAAAATTTAATTTGTAAAATGCATATATTTGAACAATAAATTGAATGTTTACTGCCACAAAAACTAATATATATATACAATACATTAGCCACTCCGTACAAATATTAATATTCTTAGGAAATCTAACCAGAAAGTATGCAGATATAAATAAAAGATCAACTGAATACTTTACTTGCCTATGAAAAGATAATTCGGGGATCTTTATATTAGAATTTCCCCACACCAAAAAATGTACAAAAAAATGTACAAGATAGCATGTGGCTAGGATAACAGATGGACGGTGGACAAAGAGACTTGTGGAATGGAGACCAAAGACACGAGGTCTATAGAAGCAGAGGACAACCTCCTAGTTGATGGACAGATAATATTAAGAGAGTGGCTGGAAACTGGATTCAAGTGGCACATAATAGAAAGAAATGGCTAGAGTTAAGGGAGGCTTTTGTTCAGCAGTGGACGGAATAAGCTAAATGATGATGATAATGATGTACAATATAGCTTAATAGCCGTAAAAAACTCGTCGCAACTTTATTAAAATATTTTGAACGGGAAACCGGTAGTAATGGCCCTTTATGTCCCTTAAGTGTTGGTAAGAAGGTGAGTTTTGTTGATGTAAATAATAACTGTTTATATATTTATAATTAATTAATTTTTTTTTCCAAGATATTTTGTTTAAAAGAAGATATGTAAAAGCGGTCAACGATGTGAGGATCAAGCTTAATCACTTGACTAAAAGTTCATTTGGTATGCTCTATACGTATATTGGGTGTCTTATACAACCGTTTTCTAATTCAACTTAATTAATAACATTGAACGATGGTTGCTCAGATTTCTGATCTCTACCGTTTATATTATTCTATGATCGCCGTAATATTCTAGTAAAAATCTTATCTCACCTTCTATCGGGAATTTTACAATAATACCATGGGTCGGTAGCTTTCAAACCATCAGGGAAGTAGAAACATTTGGAAACTAATTTGCCATTTTTCCACAGCCCCTTCACTTTGTGGCCCATCGGATATGATATAACACCAAGTCCATGAAACTCACCGTCCTTAAATGTACCCGTGTAAATAGGTCCTGTAAGTCAATATCAAAATTAAACAATCTTGTTATAGTCCTAGGCCAGTAAGCGAGGATAAAAATAAGGTACCTATTGCCGTACTACCTCCGAATTCTTGACACCCGTACCGATTGACGTGACATTTTAACAGTGAATAGAGATATACAGGGTGCTACAAATTCGGGGTACGAGCAGGGTTGCCATATTTAGAAGAAGAAAAAGCGGGACGCACTGAATGACCGCCGGAGGTGAAAATGTTTGGGTGCCACGCCCAAAAATGTTTATTTTAATATCTTAAATAATAATTTATTGAGGGATTGTGGTATAAAAAATGTTTTAAAATGAAAATACACAAGCACTAAACGAAAAATATAATAAACATATTAACATTATTTATATTTTATTAAAAATAAGATAGCATAGGTAGGTAGTTGGTTTTTTTATCAACAAAGGGGATAATATAAAGTTAACATGATTGCTAAGAAATTATAATAAATGCTGACGATAACCACCATTACCGATTATTCTCAGGTCCGTACTCAAGAAAACCCCCGATGATGGCCATTTTTGTTACCAGACGTCTGTAAAATATATTTTAAAAAGTCCGTATTAAAAAAAAATAAAATAAGTTGGTATCGATATCTGAACAGCTATACATTTGGTGAATTTTCCAAGTAGCATATTTTGTAGAAAAAGAAAAAAATATAAAATTTGTGCACAAAACTTATGATTCTATAATTATTAATAGTTTTTGAGTTATTTTTTTTTAATAAAGTAAATGTTACACATGTTGTACATATTTCCCTGTATATTGGAAACAAATGAAATTTTGGCAACTCTGTAAACGTAACTTTATTGAGCACAAAAATGCCCAACTTTTTTCTAATTTAACAAACCTCGTATCTTTTGGTGGATTATTCTGTATATGAAAATAGTTTAATATACCTACCTCTCTTTTTCTTTTATTTTTTTTGCAAAATGGAACACGCAGCCGCCGCTGTATTTTCCCGGGAAAAGTTTTTGATTTTTTTAACATCGTTAACACCGTTGTCAAATACTCGGGAATTTCCGTCATTGACGACATTGACCACATCATCTTCATCTTCAAAAACACCACAATTTACCCCTAGCCAGTCAATCTCATCAGAGGACACTGAGGAATCTGAATCCATTTTGTTGCAAAAAAAAAAGAATTAACCTATAATTATATAATTATATATAATATTAAAATGTACGTAATATGCAGCAAATTAACTCAACATAACGCGTTTGATGTCGGGTAAAGCACTCACTGCACGGACCACGGACACGGAGCAAGGAGCAAGTACACCTTCTACCTTCTGTGAAGTACACCAAACACCAAAGTACAAGTACACCACAGAATAGAAGTACACTACAACAAGGTCTTTTAAAATTAAAAGACAAAAGACTTTGCGACAAAACGTAAGCGACAAGCGACTAAATCCCGTGAAAGAAAAAGAAGAGAGAAAGAAGAATCAGTAGGAATGGCAATGATGCATCGATATGTCATGTATTTAAACCGTCGATACTTGAAACGGTGAGGCGGACACGAGGCGATAACAGAGTTTACGCATGATGCCATTGTCGCCTGTCTCCTACTATAGTGGCGAAGGAAGATTTTGGGAATTTGAAAGCAGAGAACGAGATGCGGGACAAATCGGGACAGTCTCGGGCCGCGGGACATATCGGGACACATCGATTAAAATCGGGACAGTCCCGCCTAAATCGGGACGTCTGGCAACCCTGGGTACGAGCATTGGTATCTCGGTAACCGTAATACATACGAACATGGTTAAATTGGGGCAAAGTTGCGCTTTGGGAAGTTCACTACGATGCCATCAAAAAAGTTTTCAAAATTTCAAGGATTGCTGAGTGTTTTTGAAAAAACGGATTTTTTTGAAAATCAATTTTATTTTTTCCTGCGGTTACTTTTTAGAAAATCAGCGAACTAATTGCACATTCTCATAGCCACTTTATTAGGGCTATCTGAAAGTATTTTTAGATTTTCAAATTAGCTGATAATTTGCGAGATACAGAAGCCGACTTAATTTTTTTAAATACGGACCTGCATTTTTTATTTCAGTGTTTGAAAGAACTCGGTTTCCTGAGTACAATGATATGCCACACTTTATACTTTTTTGTTTTGTTTTGGACATTGTTTTTGACATTTGAACACAATTTATTTAAACTAATTTCAAGTCGGGCTCTGTTTTTTTTTAAATTTAGTCCATTCATCGTTACAATATTGATAAGCCTTCAAACTTAACAATGACGTGGGGTAAAACACTGAATACGGAAAATCAAATGCAATAAAAAATAAAAAATTCCAAACCAAATCAATATTTTTCAACATTTACAATAAAGAGTACAAAATGCATTCGGAAGTACAAGAAGAAGATATGTTCAAAGAGCTATAAATAAAATTGAACGAATAATAAAATTGTGCAATAGGAAGGGTGGTAACCCTTTCAAACATGTAGAGCATTAGAAAGTAGTTTGTAGAAGTTGATTTATTTATAATAACTACAATTAATATTATGCATATTATTTGATTGTACACTGAGATTTCAAATTCACAATATAAAGAAGTTAAAAATAATATCTTTAAATTGCTGACCTGGATATTATTTGTTTGAATCAATTGACTCGATTTTACTTATGCAATATTAATTAGCGCTGATCAATATTGTTGCGATGAATATAATCAGATTAAATAATTTAAAAAACCAGAGTCAGACTTGAAATTATTTTAAATAATAATTAAATAGTTTTGTTGTTGTTAAGGTACCCAAAACAAAAAAAGTATAAAGTGTGGCACATAAATCCGTTTTTTCCAAAAAACTCAGCAATCCTTGAAATTTTTAAAACTTTTTTGATTGCATCTTGGTGAACACCCCAAGGCGCAACTTTGCCCCAATTTAACCATCGTCGTATCTATTGCGGTTTCCGAGATACCAATGCTCGTACCTCAAATTTGTAGCACCCTGTATACAAGAAACAAAAGTTATATAGTAGCGATGTGTGTTTTCAGCCTGGGGGTGAGTGCCGCTGCTCCTCCGGGGTACAAAACAAATCACCCATTCTAATTGTAAAAATCAATAAAGGGGTGAATTCTAAGTAAAAAATGTTTTTTTAGAAAATTAAACTTTTCCGAGTTATTTGGGATTGGAAATGTTGATTTTTCATCTAAAAACTGCATATTTTTCTGCCATTTTTTATAAATAACTCGAAAACCTTGCGTTTTGTCGCAAAACTTAAGCCCCATACTCACACTTCGCTACTTCGCTTCGTTCCTTCCTCGCGTCCCTTCGTCCACACAAAAATCATATATTTACTATGGGAAAATGTCGATTTTATGCGACTGTGTGTTCCTTCCTCCTTCGTCAAAACGCTACTTCGTCCGTTTACTTCCTCGAAACGCTCCTTCGACGTATTGTCGGTTTTTGGAGGAAGTAGCAAACGAATTATCACGAACACAAAAAAATATTAAAATATATAAAATATATAAATCGATCTTGGATTTCATTCGTAGTTGATTTCTTGATTTGGCGGTACGTCTGTACAGGGTGTCCCATTTTCGTGTGTTTTGCAGGGTTTCTCGTTTATGAGTCGAAATACAAAGATGCGGTTTTCACATTACGCTGTTACTTTTTTATGAAACTAAAGATGCTACATACAGATATGTCCTAGCTCTCTTAGTTCCTAAAATACAGGGCGAATCTGAAATTATTGCATTTTTCGATCCCCTTTGTATTATAACTTATCGAAAAGGTGAAAACGGTCTCCCGTACAGTTTTTCACGTAGAATGCAGTGACGTAACTATTTCTTCATTGGAATCTGTCTTTTTTTAAATTGACTAAAACTTATATGTTTTTTTAAATACGATATTTTGTATATTATTTAATTTTCCTTGTTACGAGCCTTCTAAAATACTTATTTTAATAAACGGGGTAAAAATGCATTATTTAACTTTATTACATAGTCGGCCGGTTTAAATTAGGTAATCAAAACAATCAACTAATTTATTCGACGTAAAATGTTGGTTATTGGCATGTTATTTAAAAGCAGCACAAGTTCAGTTTCCGTGTAGTTTATCAAAATATCACGATGCAAAGCAAAATTATCTGGTAAAATTAAGTTAAATAAAATAAGAGCCGTTTAGCAGTTTACACAACCTAAATAAATAAATATAGAGTATATTATAATTTTCGAAAGCTCATAACAAGGCAAATAAAATAAAAAATAATATATAGTGTGTCCTGTTTAAAAAAAAGAACATAAGTTTGAGTCATTTTTCGAAATAGACAGCTCCCAACGAAGAACCACTTTCGTCACTGCCATTCTACCTGAAAAACGAGACACGGGCGGTGGGTAAGTACTCAATAGGTAAAACAAAACAAAAAATCATGGTATCCGGTATATACCTGTACATTTAGATGAACAGTCTAATTTTATAAAAGGTATTTCCAACGACCGCATAGTAAATACTAGCGATGGGAACTATCGAATGAATTAGACTATCGAATGGTTAATGAATGAATGATTTCAACTATCGAATGGTTTTATTCGAATAAAATCATTCATTCATTTGTATACTAAAGCATATGTGACAACCTCGCCGTGCGACTAAATGGTCATCGTTGAGCCACGACTATCGAATGCTTTTGATAAATGAAATTTAGTATTCGTTTGATTTTTGTATGCGTCAGTGCATTATTAGTTCTTCCAAATTTTTATAACTTCGCCGTATAAATACTGTGCTATTTTTGCGTTTATTAAAATAGTTAAAATACTAAAATAGTAGTTATTTTTTAATTTTATTTATTGACGATTGTGTGCATGTGCAGGTGGTCAAAATTTTTTCGATAATTTGTGTGGTTTTCCGTAGTCCGATCTTTCAATTATTTAATTTTATATGGTATATGGTCTATTTTTTAATGGGAAATTTTGGGAAGTAGCAATTTTTAAGAGAGATGAGATGAACTTACAATTAATTTTAAAAATACATATTTGTATTTTAGATGTTTTAATAATATGAATTAGTTGAACTTAATAATCATATTTAAGTAATGTGGTTGTATAATCATATTTAAGTAAATGGTTATCGAACTGAAACTATGGGGTGAGAAAATTAAAATGAAAGTTTTACACGTGCCAATTTAAAAAAGAGTTAACGATGTTTGTATTTTGTTTATGCTAATTCTCTTACATGTAGTTTTTTGCGAAGAAAAAATATTTCATTTATTTTTTACAGTAAAATGCCAGTAAAAGTAAATATAATTTTTAAATAGTAATATAAAGCACCTAATATAAATAATTTTGATTTCTAATTTTTTATTTATATTTTCCTTTCATTACACTGCATGCTTAGAAAGTTAATAAATGTTTATATTTCATGATTTTAAAATTTGTTGTTAATATAACAAATTAGTTCTGTAATTATTATTATTTAATAAACCAACGTTGCCAAAAAATTTAGAGACTATATTATTTTTAAATGGGATCTAATATAAATAATTTTGACATCTAATTTGTTGTTTATATTTTGCTACTACTTAAAAGAAAATATTTATATTAAATGATTTTAAATTTTGTTGTTAATAGGTATAACAAATTATTACTGTTATTATTATTTATTAAACCAGTTTTTGCTAAAAAACATTAAAAATAATTTTCCTACATCCAAAATAACTAGTATTATTGCAGTGTAACAACAGAATATTAATAAAAAAAAATGCAGAATATATAGACATACTATCCCTAATTAACTAAAGCCAAACAATAATATTCTTTGCTAATATCAACTAATACCAAAATATGGCAACAGCGCCTTTCATAATGTATTTTCTGTATAAATACTCGCACCTCAATAAAAAAATAATGTGTCCTTATCTATATCTGACTCCGCAAAAAATCAAAGATGCCGGCTTCTCTCATAGCATTGCCACCGACCGCTGTCGGGTTTCTCGGAAAGAAACCTACGTCGCCGGGCCACAACTAAAATTCAGTTAATATTTTATTATAATCGATCCTGACGAATGATTGAATTTCATAAAGAATGAATTTTATAAATGAATGGTTTTTGCTGCCGAATTATTAGAATACAATATTTCAAGGCAGATGACGGATCTATTCGATAATTTTTATTCGAATAGTTTTCAACGAATGTTTTCTTACTAACTATCGAATTATTCGAATGAATTGCAACTATCGAATGTTTCGATAGTATTCATTCGATAGTCCCACTACTAGTAAATACGCGATATAATACCAGTAATGTCAGGAATACGAGTATATCTACAATATTTCTTATATATATATATATATATATATATATATATATATAT